AACAACGGCAGCGGCTGCTGCTGGGCAGGCGGCCTTCTGTCTCAACTAGACCACGTCCGCAGCGGCGCGGACGGCGAGTCCTGTTCAAGACGGACAAGAACCGCTGCTTGGGCATCGTACCCACTCTTTCCGCACCCATTTCGATCGTGCCGATCCTCGTGCCGCAGCTGCATGGCGTGCATGTGGGGCAGGACGATCAGGCACAGCAGTACCACGACGCCGGCCAGCAGCCAGCACAGGCGCTCCCTGCTGCTCTTCTGGCGGCTCGCGGCCTTCTTGAGCTCGCTGGTGGTATCCCTCGCCGGCCGACGGGGAGGTACGGGCCGGCCGGGGACCAGGGCGCCTACCCTCCTCCTCCTCCTCCTCCTCCTCCTCCTCCTCCTCCTCCTCCTCGTCCTCCTCCTCCTGCCTCCCTCCCTCCCCTCCCTCCCTCCCTCCTGGAGGCCGTCTCATGAGCGTGACTCCCCTTCTGTGCTCTGGTCAGGGGTACCTCGCCAGCGTCACACCAGGACCGCCCGTGTCGCTGTCTCGCTGTCTCCGCTGTGCACAGTTGCCCTGTCCTGTGTACTGGCTTCACTGTACTTTTAGGTCGGGCGTCTCCTCCTACAGGCGGATTCTGGAAAAAATGAAAAATAGCCCTACCAAAAATCCAAAAATACGTATTAATAATCGAAATATCGTCCCCTCGCTATTTTTTTCTGTTTTCGGATATTCCTCCTGTAGAGGAACAGGCCCGACTTAACCGTACTTGTCTGCTTGGTGCCCGCGCAGAGCTTCTGCCAGTTGCAGCGTCGCACTCCGCTGATAGGCAATCGTCTTCATCCGCGTCGCAGTCCAAAAAAGAACCTAGAGGTCCCCCACATGGGGTCCGAGTAGACCGGACCAGAGAGTCGCGCCGCATCGCCGATGCGTCGGTGACGTCGGCGATGCCTCGGCGCCGTCGGCGTGGAGAAGATCGGACCCCACATCGAGCTGCATCGCCGATGCATCGGCGATGCGGCGCGATCCCCCGACCACATCTACTCTGACCCCATCCGCAGGCCTAGACTCTCGAAGACCACCGCCACCCTGGAGAAGACGAGACGGAGGTGTTTCGTCATCTTCGACGTGCGGCGGCCGTTTCTGGGCTCCAGTGCGGCATATATAGACATATATAATACGAAAGGGCAACAACAACCAACAACAAAAACAACAATTAGCCTGGCGAAGGACCCAACCATATGCAGCTGCGAGTACCGCACGGATATGAGACGAAGGAGGGGGCACGCAAACTAGGCCCCTCTTCTCATAGGCACCGCGCCACTGGGGCCTTCGGTGGAGCTCCCTATGGGGCCACGAAACGTGTGAAGGGTGTGCCGAAATGGGCTGCCGGACCCTGGGGCCTTCGGTGGAGCTCCCTATGGGGCCACGAAACGTGTGAGGGGTGTGCCGAAATGGGTGGTGGGGAGGCATGCGAACGCAGCCACTGGGGCCTTCGGTGGAGCTCCCTATGGGGCCACGAAACGTGTGAGGGGTGTGCCGAAATGGGTGGTGGGGAGCCACTGGGGCCTTCGGTGGAGCTCCCTATGGGGCCACGAAACGTATGAGGGGTGTGCCGAAATGGGTGGTGGGGACGCATGCGAACGCAACCACTGGGGCCCCTTCGGTGGAGCTCCCTATGGGGCCACGAAACGTGTGAGGGGTGGGCCGAAATGGGCGAGGGGCGGCATGCCAACTCTGCCACTGGGGCCTTCGGTGGAGCTCATTATGGGGCCACGAAACGTGTCAAGGGTGTGTCGACATGGGTGGCGCGGACGCATGCGAACCCTGCCACTGGGGCCGTCGGTGGAACTCCCAATGGGGCCACGAAACGTGTGAGGGGTGTGCAAAAGTGGGTGGGGGCGGCATGCGAACCCTGCCACGGGGGCCTTCGGTAGAGCACCCTATGGGGCCACGAAATGCGTGAGGGGTGTGCCAAAGTGGGGTGGGGGCGGCATGCGAACCCTGCCACTGGGGCCGTCGGTGGAGCTCCCTATGGGGCCACGAAACGTGTGAGGGGTGTGCCAAAGTGAGATGGGGGCGGCATGCGAACCCTGCCACTGGGGCCTTCGGTGGAGCTCCCTATGAGGCCACGAAACGTGTGAGGGGTGTGCCAAAGTGGGGCGGGGGCGGCATGCGAACCCTGCCACTGGGGCCTTCGGTGGAGCTACCTATGGGGCCACGAAACGCGTGAGGGGTGTGCCAAAGTGAGGTGGGGGCGGCATGCGAACCCTGCCACTGGGGCCTTCGGTGGAGCTACCTATGGGGCCACGAAATGCGTGAGGGGTGTGCCAAAGTGGGGTGGGGGCGGCATGCGAACCCTGCCACTGGGGCCGTCGGTGGAGCTCCCTGTGGGGCCACGAAACGTGTGAGGGGTGTGCCAAAGTGAGGTGGGGGCGGCATGCGAACCCTGCCACTGGGGCCTTCGGTGGAGCTACCTATGGGGCCACGAAACGTGTGAGGGGTGTGCCAAAGTGGGGTGGGGGCGGCATGCGAACCCTGCCACTGGGGCCTTCGGTGGAGCTACCTATGGGGCCACGAAACGTGTGAGGGGTGTGCCAAAGTGGGGTGGGGGCGGCATGCGAACCCTGCCACTGGGGCCTTCGGTGGAGCTCCCTATGGGGCCACGAAACGTGTGAGGGGTGTGCGGAAATGGGAACTAATGGCAATGGCGATGATGATGATGATGATGATGATGATGATGATGATGATGATGATGATGATGACGATGATGATGCTGGTGGTGATGACGATGATGATGCTGGTGGTGATGATGACAGGATGGTTGGGAACTAATGGCGATGGCGATGATGATGACGATGATGATGCTGGTGGTGATGATGACGAGGATGATGATGATGATGATGATGATGATGATGATGATGATGATGATGATGATGATGATGATGATGATGATGATGATGATGATGATGATGACGATGAGTATGATGACGGCGATGGGAGGAGGGAGGAGGGGGGAGAGGAGGAGGAGGAGAGGAGAGGAGAGGAGAGGAGACGCGGGGCGCTGTCTCTTCAAAACGAGGACCCAACACCACAGGATGGTTGGGAATAATGATCCCAGTGCGACCCTACCTAGGAGTTGGAGCATCTAGGAAAGCAACATCTACATATACACCGACAGCTACATTAACATCTACACCTGCATCTACATCTACGTCAACGTCAACAGCGAGACTCACATCTACATATACATATACACCTACATCTATACCTACGTCTACATATACATATACATCTACACCTACATCCACATCTACACCTACACGTACATATCTATCTACAGCTACACGTTCGCATTGGTTTTGATGTTGTTTTGCATTGCCTTGCCTTTGCTGTTGCTATGTTATGCATATGCCTTGCCTTTGCGTTCCCTTTGCTTTGCATTGCCTATGCTGCGCTATGCTATGACATGATTTGTTATGCTGCGCTATGCTATGCTATGCTGGGCTATGCTATGATATGCTATGCTGCGCTATGCTATGCTATGCTATGCTATGCTATGCTGCGCTATGCTGTGCTACGTTATGCTATGTTATGCTATGATGCGCTATGCTATGCTATGATATTATATGCTGCGCTATGTTATGCTATGCTATGATATGCTATACTATGTTATGCTATGCTATGCTATGCTGCGCTGTGCTATGCTAAGCTATGTTATGATATGCTGTGTTATGCTGCGCTATGCTATGCTATGATATGCTATGATATGCTATGCTGCGCTATGCTATGATGTGATGTGTTATGATATGATATGCTATGATATGATGTGCTGTGCTATGCTATGCTATGCTAATGCTGCGCTGCGTTGCGCTAAGCTAAGCTGAGCTAAGCTAAGCTAAGCTAGGCTAGGCTAAGCTAAGCTAACCTAAGCTAAGCTAAGATGAAATAAGCTAAGCTAAGATGAGATAAGCAACGCTAAGCTAAGGGGACGCAACTGGGGGAACCGCGGGGCGGGGACTGGGGGAACCGCCCGGGGCGTTTTACACTGCCCGGCCCCTTTAAGCAAACAAAGTAAGAACCCTCTAGGCAGAGCCTAGGTAGGGAAAAAACGAGCTGGGGGGTAACAGAGTTTGGGGGCCCGCTTTGGAGGGCATAAAATCCACCCCCATGATGATCACCCCGACACGCGAAGCCGTTCAGCAAACGCACCCACAGAAGGAATCGAGCAGGGAGGGCAGGGCTGTTTCGTAAACGCCCAGGGTCTTTCAGCACACGCCATATCGTCGGGTCCGGGTGGCCTTTCCTCCCCTGACGCGGGCTGGAAGAAGCTACGCGCCGTGGGAGGTCCGTCCTGGGACGGGGCGCGGGGGCGGGGTCTCCAGGGCAAGCGGCGGCAGCGGGGGGCCACGGGATGGCTGCCACGGTCGCCGTCGTCGTCGTCGCCGCCGCCGCCGCCCTCGTCTTCTGCGTCGTCCTCGACGCCCGTCGCTGGCGCCGACGCCCTCGGCGGAGACCGGGGGGGGGAGGCAGGCGACAAGGAGCAACGGGAGGCCCCAGGGGGGAGGGGGGGCAGTGGGGGGGGGTCCCAGCTGGGGCCAGCCCAGGCATGTCCTCTACAAGCGGAGCTCGGAGGAAACATCATTAAAAAGGATTCGTCTTGGCCAAAGAATTCTCGAAAAATCGTTCCCGGACTGTTTTGTGACTATTTCTGAGCATTTCTCCTGTAATTGAGCGGGGACCGACCGTCCCGGCATTCTTATAGGCCTACCACGACATGTTCTTAGAACCCAAAAATGCTCTAAGAACAAGAACAGTGTTCTTAGAACCTAAGCACGATGTGTTCAAACGAGACAGTCCCACCAGAAGTGTTCCCAGAACATCTCGTGCAAACCCACAAGAGGCTCTTAGAACCTTCTCTGGTGGGCCTCTAGGCGAGCCAGGAAGGGGCGAGCCAGGAAGGACGCTTCGCCACTGCTCTCAGGTCGGGCGTGTCCCCCTACATGGGGATTTTGGGCGAAAAATCAAAAAATACCCCAAGCAAAATCATACAAATACTCCAAAAAAACAAAATACTCCAAAAAATATTCAAAACAATGAAACGCTCCACCATAATCAGTAAATCGTTCCCACGCTATGTTTACCTACATTTGAGCATCCCTCCTGCAGAGGGACAGGCCCGACTCAAGACTGCTCGATGCAGCGGGACACGCCCGCCCAGCCCCCGAGGCGCGGCGGGCAAGAGCGCGAGCGGGCCGCGTGGGCCGCTTCCCTCGCTGCGCTCGCCGCTGCGGGCCCCCGGGCCCCAGCGCGCGGGGGGAGGCCCGGCCGCCCAGGCGCACCGCGGAGGGCCTCGCCACCCCAGAGAGGAGGGGCAACGACAGGAGGAGGAAGGAGGAAGGAGGAAGGAGGAAGGAGGAGGAGGAAGGAGGAAGGAGGAAGGAGGAAGGAGGAGGGAGGAGGGAGGAGGGAGGGGGGGAGCTGGCATCAGGGGGGGATGCATCGGCCTGGAATCGACGATGATGACGTCGCCGCTGGATCGGCGATGTGACCCTCCGAGGCCGGCGAACCCGCACCTTCCTGGGCGGGGTGGGGCTGTCAGGCCCCCATCGGCGATCCATGGCCGATGGGGGGTCGAGGCTTCCCCCCCCAGGCCTTGTCTCCCCCCCCCCTCCCCGACCCCACCCCTATCGCTGCCCCCGAAGGAGTGGAGGCGCCGCGGCATGATCTTGGGGCTCAGCGTTAGGTCGGGCATGTCCCCCTGCAGGCGGATTTTCGACGAGAAGCAGGAAATAGTTAAAGAATGCTCAAAAAATAACCGACCAAACAATCGAAAAAAAAGGCGCCTGACTATTTCTTGACTATCTTTGAATACTCCTCCTGTAGAGGGGCACGCCCGACTTGGGCTCAGCCCACCGGCAGCCCCCCTCCGACATGCAGGAACCTGAGCGGGCCCCTCTTTTAGGGAACCGAACCCTATACACCGACGCCTGTCTAGCCTCAGACTGAATCTCGCACAGGGAAGTGGATCCTGGTGCAGACGGGATCCTGGTGTATACATTCTTCGTTGTTTCCCCAGGAAAGCGGGGAAATAGATATACACCACACCACCCCGACGTCGTCCCCGACCCTCAGAAAAGTCCCGAGATTGAAAAAACGCCTGCCACTGGTAATGTTGAAGGGGCCCCAGGACACACAAATAAATACACACAAATAAAAAGCTTCCCCATATTTTCCCATATTTTCTGGAGTTTTGTCTTCCCCCCCACTTCCCATATTTTCCCAGATTTTCAAGGGAATCGACGATTAATTGTGTCTGTGTGTGTTTTTCCCTCTCCTGAAATGTATATGCTCCAGTTTCTGGTCTTTCCCTGCTCCCCTCGCGCCCTCCGTCTGCTCCTCTCGCCCTGCGTGCCTCCCCGCCCGCCTCCGGGTGCATCCCCCCGCGCTGCTTCGATCGGCCGCGAGCCCCGGGGAGCGGGAAGCGAGAATCGGGCCGGGCAAAGGGGGGGGGGGTAGCATTGAGGCGGGCCTGTCCCCCTACAGGGTGACTTTGGGCGAAAAATCCCCGAAATAAGCAAAAATAATCAAAATAAGACGTCCCCTGAATATGTTTGACTACTTTTGGATATTCCTCCTGTAGAGGGACAGGCCCGTAGCTGATTTTCCCGGCGCCGGGGAGGCGCCCAGGTATGTCAAGGAATGGGCCCGGCGGCGGGGCCGAAACCAGCTGCATGCAGCAGATTTCACACCCCCCACCCTTCCCTATTCCCCCCCTTTCGTTCGGCCCGAGAGACGGAGCGGGCCTTCTCCGAAGGCTCGGAAGTCCCCCACCCTTCTGAGAAGTGTCCTACGCCCTCCCCGAGGGCACAGGAAACTTCGCGGCAGGCGCGAGGGCTTCTGGGAGAAGTCCCGCGGCCTTCTGAGGAGGCCATCTCCCTCTCACTTCCCCCTCGCTCGCCGCCGAAACCCGCCTCCGGTGCATGCGCCCACTTGCTTTAGGTCGGGCATGTCCCCCTACAGACGGATTTGGGACGAAAACTGAACAATAGCCAAAAAAAATCAAAAATCGCCCCCCAAAAATACCCAAGAAATAGTACCCAGAGCATCTTGGGACTATTTCTGAATTCCCCCCCTGTAGAGGGACACGCCCGGCTCAACCTTTGCTTGGACCGGCACCGGACCGTCGTGCACCCCCTGGTGCCCGAGGACGTCGCGCGCAGAAAAAACTGGGGGGGGGGGGGCTGGCCTCGTGCTGCTGGAGGAGGCCTCCGCGTGGCTCTCGATGGTCTCCATCTGCTGCCCCTGCTCCTGCGGAGAGGAGGGCGAGGGGCCCCGGCCTCTCCACACGGGTGCGAGAGCAAAGAAGCGTGGAGGGGCCCAGGGACACCACGAATGCATGGACACAAATCTGAGGAAGATGGCCCCTGACGCCCCCCAGAGGCCCCCGAGGGCCCTCCAAGAAGGGCCCAAGAGGCCTCTATCACGCCCCCAAGAAGCTCCCCAGAGGCCCCCACGAGGCCCCCAAAAGCCTCCCGCATGCCCCCCTAAATATTCCAAGAAGCCCCAGAGAGGCGTCCCAAGAGACCCTCATATTCATCCAGGAGGCTCCTAACCCAAGGTACAACTTCCACGATCGTCTCAAACACTCACTCCTTGTGGCGGTCGGCGGAATGGCGCAAGCCACTTGAATGAGAAGACTTGAACCTAAAGATGCCCCACATGTTCCACTCTGGGGGGGGGCCCTGGGACGCCCCGGGAGGCACTGTGGGGCCTTGGAATTGGAGGGCACGAGATCCCCCGAAAGCCCTGGGAAGCCCTGGGAAGCCTGACAACACACGGCTGGAGCCAAATGTGGAGCACGTGGAGAACGCTCGGTAGGCCACATACGTTGACACACACAGTCGGGAACTTTTGGATAGCGCGTCGCCACGGCAGGCCCCGGCGACAAGCCATGCATTGCGAGCAGATGGCGTGTCGCTCCGCTCCCGGGGGGGGGGTAGGCTCGGAAAGGCTCGGAACGTGGAGGCGTGGAGACGGGAAGCTGACAGCGTGCCGCACCGAAGCGCGGTCGCCAGAACTGGCGGTGCGACACGCCATCCCAAAGTTCCCGACCGGAAGGGCAGAGCGCTGGTAGAGCACCTCGCCGTGCGCAACCAAGGCCAGACCGGTCACGTGATGCGTATCAACCTCCCTGGTAGAGCTCCAGAAGCCCACCCAAAACCCCGTGTAAGCGCCGAGGGACTTCCAGGACACCCCCCCCCCCATGTCGTGCCACCAGACTTGCCGCTGGGGCGGGGCATGCGTTTCGCCTGAGACTTCCTCGACGTCTACGACATTCAAGCTCACAATGTCCGACAGCCACACGGACGGAGGGCGCATGGTTTTCAAAATGGGGCTCTCGCGTGGGCGCCGCGCGCACTCGTCGTACAAAAGCACAGCTGCCCGGAAGGAGAGCGGGCGTTTTTTTGGTGGGGCTGTCGCCTGGGCGCCGCGCACACTCGCATGTAAAAAAACAGCAGTTACGCGTTACGCGGTTGGATGGCGGCACTTCTGCGAAGGGGATTCCCGCCAGAGACTTGTTATAAACTGCACATGGAAGCAGTGCAACAGGTGAGTACGGAGTCCTCTTCAAAACGAGGCTCTCGCATCTTGATCAGAAGCATGAACTTGCCGAACAGCTCGACGGATTCAGGAGATTCCTTGCCAGAATCGGGCTCTCGCCCGAGCCGTCACATGAGCGACGATCAACAACGGGCCTTACGCGAGATGGCACGGCGACCTTACGTCGCAGCTTACGCGGGCCGCCAGCGCGGCACGCTGCATTGGCGACGAGGGCGCTCGCGCAGCAGCTGCGCGGATGCAGGGCGGCCCTCTGTCGAAGCGGGGCTGCTACTGGGCACTTCCCTGAACTGAAGGGCCCCGTTGTTAGACAAGCGCACCCCCCACTACCCGCAGAGCAACTGCGCGCAAGTGGCCCGGATCCGCCGCGGGGCCTCGACGATCCACTGCATGTAGGAAGACACGTGTTCGTTCCAACGTTTGCGAGGCGGCACTCTGCGAGTAGCGGCACGCGCTCGGCGAACTCCTGCTCGCTCGCATGGTGGGGATCCGCTCCACCTCGGGGCACGGGCGCCGCCCGAGCGGCGGCCCCGTGTGGCGGCCGCCATCCTTCAGAGGGGGGGCCCCTCGCGCAGGGAGAGCAGAGCGCTCCCGGGGACTCCCTGCTGGGACGGGAGCGCGTGCCGGCGGACCCGGGCCAGAGGAGCAGCACTCGAGAAGGGGGGAGGCCCTCCGCCGGCAAAAGCACACACAGAACAGGCAAGGGAAAGGACCCTCCCCAGGGCGCGCGAGAGCATCCAGCGAGCACGAAGAGAACATCAGGGCACCCTCCCCGAACCGACCTCGATCTTGTACCCCGTTCCGACCGTACTGCAGCATCGTGCATGCATCGTGGATTCACTCTGGCCCCTGTTCCTCAGTCCCCTGCGCCTCCTCTTCCGTTTTTTCCTCCACCCTCAGGAGGAGGAGGCGGAGGAGGAGGAGATGGACGAGAAGGAGGAGGAGTGAGGAGTGAGGAGTGAGGAGTGAGGAAGGAGGAGGAGGGGGAGGCAGCGGGAAGGAGGCGGAGGCGGAGGAGGAGGAGGGGGAGGAGGAGGAGTGAGGAGTGGAGGAGGAGGAGCAGGAGGAGGAGGCGGAGGAGAAGGAGGAGGAGGAGGGGGAGGAGTGAGGAGTGGAGGAGGAGGAGCAGGAGGAGGAGGCGGAGGAGAAGGAGGAGGAGGAGGAGGGGGGGAGGAGGAATGAGGAGTGAGGAGCGAGGATGGACGTGGGGATGGGGATGAGGATGAGAAAGCGGAGGAGGACCATTGGGCCTGCCGCACGGACTTGCACTCTTGTTTTTGAAGAGCCGAAGCGTGCTATGGCCTGCGCCAGCCAGCGCTGGTGCTTGGTCATAGTTGCTTCCTGTGGCGTTCCTCGGGGTCCTCCTCCTCCTCCGCCTCCGCCTCCGCCTCCTCCTCCTCCTGGTTCATTGTTGTGGCCTTCCCTGGGGTTGCTCGGTCTTGGTTCCCTGTTGTGGGCGTCTCGGTTTCTGAACGTTCCCGTCGTTTTTGTGTTGTCTTGAGACCGATCGTTTTGAACGGCTTCGCTGAGCATCGTTGACTCCTGGCCAGGGGGAGCGCGATCGGTTTCGGAAGCTTCGAAAACAGTAGCGTGATCGCCCTCCGTCGCCGCGTCATGCTCTGTATCCGTGGCCACCAAACACTGTTATTTTCTATAAGTTCTATAACATCCGAAAGCGAAGGGCCAAAACACACCCGAAACGAAGCTCCCGCCTGAGAGGTAACAAAAAACACTCAAAACGAGGCTCCCGCCTGAGAGGTCCAAGAAAAACCCAAAGAAATCCAAGAGCCACCCCTCTCATCCCTGTAACTGTCCCAAAAAACCCAAACCCAAAGTTCCAAAGGAGAACTCCTCCTCCACCCCGCTTCCTCCTCTTCTTACCCGTCAAACAACACACTCAAAACGAGGCTCCCGCCTGAGAGGTCCCAAAAAAACACACCCAAAAGGAAGCTCTCGCCTGAGAGGTCCCCAAACAAATATTCAAAATGAGGTTCCCGCCTGAGGGGCCCCAAAAAAACGAAAGAAATCCAAGAGCCACCCCTCTCATCCCTGTAACCGTCCCAAAAAAACCAAAGAACCCCCCCCCCCCCAAAAAAAAAAAAAAAAAAAAACTGCCCCTCATCTTCCAAAGGGCGGGTACGAAGAGGAGGAAGCGGGGAGGGGGGAGGAGCTCTCCTCTGAAATTTTGGGTGTTTTTGGTTTTTTTTTTGAGACCGCTACACGGATGAGAGGGGTGGCTCTTGGATTTCTTTGGGTTTTGTTTGGGGGACCTCTCAGGCGGGAGCCTCGTTTTGAGTGTTTTTCTTCTGGGGCCTCTCAGGCGGGAGCATCGGTTTGGGACCTCTCAGGCGGGAGCACCGTCACGTGGGAGGTTCATGCTCTCCTCCTTCCTTTCCCCTTCTCACTTTCTTTCCTCCCTCCTCCCTCACCCTCCTCACTATCTCTCTCTCTCTCTCTCTCCCTCTCTCCCCCCTTCTCTCTCTCTCTCTCCCTCTCTCTCTCTCTCTCTCTCTCTCTCTCTCTCATTACTTATTATCTCTCCCTCTCTCTCTCTCTCATTATCTCGTTTCCTCTCTCCCTCTCTACGTCGGAAGCGCAATACTTCTTCACTGTTGGAACGCAGTGCTCTGGATCCATCGAAGCGCAATGCTTCGTCCTCGTCGGAAGCGCACTGTCTCCTTCTCGTCGGAAGCGCAATGTTTCCTCCCCGTCGGAAGCGCAATGCTTCCTCCGCGTCGGAAGCGCAATGTTTCCTCCTCGTCGGAGCAACGCCTTGGATCCATCGAAGCGCAAGGCTTCGTGCTTGTCGGAAGCGCAATGTTTCCTATTCGTCGGAAGCGCCATGTTTCCTGTGTGTCGGAAGCGCAATGTTTCCTCTCTGTCGGAAGCGCAATGTTTCCTCCTCGTCAGAAGCGCAATGCTTCATGTTTGGTGGAACGCAGTGTTCTGGATTCACCGAGGCGCAATGCTTCGTCCTCGTCGGAAGCGCAATGTTTGCTCCTCGTCGGAAGCGCAACGTTTCCTCCTCTGTCGGAAGCGCAATGGTTCCTCCTCGTCGAAATTCAATGCTCTGGACCCCTCGAAGCGCAAGGCTTCGTGCTTGTCGGAAGCGCAATGTTTCCTCCCCCTCCCTTCCATTCCACAGGAATGAAAGTCGGTGCGACGCCCGATTCGGTGAGAGGCACATGTTTAGCGACATGGAAAGGGATGGGAGGGAGGGGTAGAATGTCAGATGTAGCGCGAGCGCAACTAGCTTGCTTTCTCTCTCTCTCTCTCTCTCTCCTTTTCTCTCTCTCTCTCTCTCTCTCTCTCTTTCTCTCTCTCTCTCTCTCTCGCTCTCTTTCTCGCTCGCTCCCTCCCTGGTCCCTCCCTCCCTCCCTCCCTTCCCCCCTCCACCCCCATCCCCCCTATATCAGTATATCCTTCTCTCTTTCTCTCTCTTCTCTTTCTCTCTCAATCTGCCTCCATCATTTGCTCGTCGGCAGGTTCGGAAGGCTTGCAAGGACTACGCCTGAGTCTGAGGCGTTTGGGGGTAGCTTCCAGAGCAGCGTTGCAGTGACGCTCTGGGAGTAGTTCGCTAGAACCACTGCGTGCTTTCTGATTGGTCTGGGTAAAGAGCGATCGCCCACTCACGACGGGGGCAGAACATTAGCGAAACATTGAGCCAAAAAGGAGGAGACTAACCAAATAAACAAACATTATATATATACTGTTGAAAATAAATGGGCGACACAATAAAGAAAAAGCACTTAACACATGATGTAATGCAAAGATACGCGGCTGAATTAGAAAAGCCGTCGGGAACGTCCAGAAACCGAGACGGCCTGTTGTGGCCTTCCCTGGGGTTGCTCGGTCGTGGTTCCCTGCTGTGGCCTTCCCTGAGGTTGCTCGGTCGTGGATCCTTACTGCCTTCCCTGGGTTGCTCGGTCTTATTTCCAAGCAGCGCCAAGCAACGCCAAGCAATGCCAAGCAACGCCCAGCAACGCCAAGCAACGCCAAGCAATGCCAAACAATGCCAAGCAACGCGCCCGTTTAGCAAAAGGCTTTCCCATAATTGGGGTCGCGCCCGGTGCCTGTTCTGCGCGCAGACGCGACCCTTCTGGGTTTGCTACGATAGGCGCCGGAACGGGAACAGAGCAAGCACTCAATCACAAAGTACAATCGACAGACATGAAATCATCTGAAGCCACGATGTGTACTAACATTGGCGAAACGACACATCAACTTGGTCCGAGCCACCTTGGGTTTCTTTTTAAACACGGACGATGAAGCGATGCAGCATGTCAAACGATCACAGCATGTCGAAGCGTTGTTGCACAGACGAGCCGCCCGTGCCTTCCGGAAGCGCATCTCAGCATGCTCTCTCTCTCTCTCTCTCTATTTCTTCCTCTCTATCTCTCTCTCTCTCTCTCCACCCTCCTCCCTGTTCGTCTGGAGGAGTGGGGAGGGGGAGGGGGCGGAGGAGGATGAGGATGAGGAGGGGAGGGGAGGGAGGACGGAGGGCGGAGGAGGACGGACGGCCCAGGTGCAAGAGGGAGAAGGGAGCAGGGAGCATGAGGGAGGCGAGGCGTCCGACGTCGGGCAGCGGCGGCCATCCGAGGCGGAGCCCCGCTCGCCGACGACGTGAGCTGCTCCGTCCCGGCGGGTCTCCTCGATTTCGGCCTCTGGGGCCCGCTTTGTCGGGCCCAATGGGGCCAGCAGGAACGGCTGCGGAGCGCACAGACGTCAGAGTTGAGTCGGGCATTTGCCTCCACAGGAGGGATGTTCAAGGATAATCTGAAGCAGTATAGATCAGGGGACGATCCTTCCTGCCGACGAAGAGGGCGAGGAGGGGGGGGGGGTCTACAGCTGCGGCCCCCGCTCCTGCACTATGGTGGCGAGGTCGCGGAAGATCTGGTTGACCTCGGAGACCTGGCTCTGGATGCGCCGGATGCCCTCCTCGCGCTCCTGGGCAATGCGGCTTCGAATCTGGAACGACTCGGTGTCCTCCTGGGCGGAGGGGGGGGGGAGGAACGGCATGCGCAGACGGGGGCATTCGCCCTCTCCAGGGACTGGACGGAGGAGGAGCAGGAGGATGAGAAGGAGGAGGAGGAGGAGGAAGAGGACGAGGAGGACGACGAGGAAGAGGACGAGGAGAAGAAGAAGAACAGAAAGAAGAAGAGGAAGAAGGAGGAGGAAGAATAACAATAATACGAGAAGGAGGAAGAGGAGGATGAGGAGGAGGCCGAGGAGGAGGAAGAGGACGAGAAGGAGGAGGGCGACGAGGACGAGGAGGAGGGACTAGGAGAGAGAGGAAGGCAAACGAGAGGGTGGCCCAGCCTCGCGCGAGCCGCTCTCCCCAGCCATGCCCCATGCATGGTGGGACAACAACCGGCCCGCACTCTGGTGCCAGACGAGCAGCGACAGCCGCGGCCACTGATGCTCTCGCCTCCATGGACACCGGGCGAAGCCCAAGCGCGGCCAGAAAGACTGAGAACCAAAAAAGGGAGGCGCAGGAGCAAGAGGCGGGGAGGATCGAGGGGGGGAAGGAGCGACGGCGACGAGGACGACGGCGACGGCGACGGCGACGGCGACGGCGACGGCGACGGCGACGGCGACGACGACGACGACGACGACGACGACGACGACGACGACGACGACGACGACGACGACGGCGGCGGCGGCGGCGACGGCGACGGCGACGACGACGACGACGACGACGGCGACGGCGGCGGCGGCGGCGGCGACGGCGACGGCGACGGCGACGGCAACAAAAGGCGGAACCAGCGAGGCTCCTGGAGCATGGTCTGAGCGCACGTCTGGCTGCCAGCCTCCCTGCCGCCCAGCAGCCCGGACTCCTCGTCCTCCGCCGGGCGACCCCCCAGGGACGACGGGAAGGGTGCGGAATGGAGGAGGAGGAGGAGGAGGAGGAGGAGGAGTGGGGCCAGTTAGGGGAACGAGCAATGACATGAACATAACAACTCGGAGGTCCGCGCGGATTTCTCGGATCGGCGCGGGGGCCCTCTGGCGGCGCCTCCCGCGCCGCCCCTGGCGCGCTCCGAGCGCCGATCCGAGGAATCCACGCGGACCTCCGAATTCATATCTTTACGTCATTGTTCGTTCCCCTACCAGTGTCGACGCCAGCACCGATGGGTAAGCTAACCACAGCCTCGCTGGGTTGGCTCGGCGTTGCTGAAGACCTTCGGGGTTAAACCTTCACGAATTCTAGACAGGTGCTCTGCACCTGTGATGGTGAGGACACGGTCACAGTGCTTGGAGGGAGGAGGAGGGGGTGAAGAGGAGGAGGAGGAGGAGGAGGAGGAGGAGGAGCGAGCGACGAGGAGAGGCGCGAGGGACGGGAGAGGCGAGGAGGACGGACGAGGATACTGGTGGATCACGTAGCCTTGAGGGCGGCTGGTCCCTGAGCGAGGTGGAAGGCTAACCAACCAACGGCCAAATCAAACTTGGAATGGCACATCGACAAATCCGAACAATGATCTTAACATTGAACGGACGCTGACAAGAAGCACAATACGACGTAGCAAATCCTTGTCTACACATGGAGGAGCGAAACCGTTGGGGGACGGGGAAGGAGCAGGAGGGCAGAGCGAAGGATGAGGCTGGGAATACTGGAGGAGTGGGGAAGCAGGCGGCAGGAGGAAGCCCGAACAGGATGCTATATGACGTCGATTGCGGTCCATAAAGAGCGTTGCTGACGGCTGAAGTCTACGCGTCGCCCAGGAGAGCTGCAGATCGCGTCCGCGAAGGCCCACGACACGCCCAGGCAGCAGACGATGGCTTCCAACGTGGCGTTCCCTGCCATCGAATGCTGCCTTCCTGCTATATCAAAGGATCGCGTCGGGTCATGATTGCTGGATGCACCGGCTGGGATTCGTGAAGCTCTAACAAAAAGTGGCAGGGAAAGAAGCATGGGAGGGAGAAACACCGCTGAAATTATGAGTCGGACGGGCCAGTAAAAGAGGGAAGAGGTCAGGAGCAGTGCGGAAGAAGGCGAAGGAGCACCATTGGAATTGCAACAGAAAACGGGAAGAGGGTGCCCTGGCTGGATGACCGCGCGGCGGTGCTGGTCCAAGTCTGCAGGCGTCCTGCAGACGGTCTTCCCTGCTCTGGAACGCAAAACGAAGAAGGCGGGGAGGCGAGGAAGTTCAGGTTCCTTCTCCTTCTGGCCAGCCCAGGGGAAGAGGGAAAAAAGGGAAGCAGCAATTTTACTAAATTGGCTTTTGACGCCACGGTGGTCCACATTGAGCGCCCCTCGGGCGGCCCGCATGTTTGCGCACCTCCGCCCGTTAATAATCACGGGCTCGCCGAGCGATTTCATACTAGCTTTCGTGCTCGTGTACCGGCAAGACCGCGCGTCCACAACGTGGGACGCATGTCTGCTGAAATTCCCGCGCTAACGCTTGAATCGCGGCTCACTCCCGCCACGCCTCGCTGCTAAGCTCGGGCATGACACTACAAGCCCAAATGCCAACTTGAGCCTTGCCCAGCCGTTTGGCCCGACCATACACATGCACAAACGGGTTTTGTTCAACGAAGCGAACCCTCTTCACAGGTACCTTTTAGCTCGCGAGGAATACGCCAGGCCGCGTGGAGAGATGCACGTCGAACTGCCGCTCCTCGAAACCCTTACACCCCGTATGGGCGTCGGAGCCTAGTGCTTCCCGCGGCCTGCACTTACGAGAATACACCCGCGTTCATGGAGAGATGAGGAAGCTGGCCGCACGTGCACCCCCTAAGGCACTTCATGCCGTCCTCCGGTCAGACCTCCCCATAGCCAACGAGGAAGATGAGATCGCCTTGTAGCCTCAGATCGAAACCCAATGCTGTCTTCACGGCTTGTGAAAGAGAATCGACAGAAGCGAGTGGGATGGCAGGAACGCTGGGGTGACCAGACAGCGGGGACGGATGCATCAACGGTGGGCGCGGGATGGACGCAGGCTGGGTTGGGGACGGGGCGGGGGGAGGCGAGTTTCCTCTCGGCTGCTTCAAAAAACAAGCAAAAGGCGTAATAGAAGGCAGGGGCGACGTCTGGGAGCACAACGGGTTCGGGCAACGGCGGGCCTTTTCAGATTCACAGAGGACCTGGGTCGTAGTGCGCAAGGCTGCTATGGGGCGCAGCCTGCGCCACGCTAGCTGCTCAGGCAGCGTAGCATGCCCCCGCGTAGGCGACCAGGGAAGAGGGCGAGGAGGAGGGGCGAGGAGGGCAGGAGCAGAAGGAGGAGCAGGAGCAGAAGGAGGAGCAGGAGCAGCAGGAGGAGCAGGATCGGGGCTCAAGGCTTTTGGGCGCTTGATGAGGTCCTTTTCGTCCTCCACGGGCGACCCCTCGGGGAGGAGAGGTGCACGGCGAGAAGAAGGAGGACTCCTCCCTTCCTCCTCCTTCTCCCCCGAGGAAGAAGGATGGCGAGAGGATCGAGCATGGAAATGGTTCATCGTTTCCAACAACCGTGGGCCGCGTTCGGACTCTAGGGCCACCAAAAGACGACTCGGAATGCAAAGCAACCTCCGCGCAGGAATCGCGGCTCTCGGGGATCCGCATTCGTCCTCCACCAGCAAACCCCCCAGGGACAGAAGGGGGAAGGCGAGAGGGGATCGTCGGCACCGATCGGATGCTCTGGAAGAGGTTCGGGGGGCTGCCGTCGCCACGGCTGGGCGCAGCTCGAAGACCGATAATATGGAACGGATGTGAGGCGAAGCCCTTCGAGGATCGAGGCACCTCCAGAGACTCTCGGATTCCTCTGGGAGGACGGCGGAAGATGAGGAGGAGGAGGGAGGAAGAGGAGGAGGGAGGAGGAGGATGAAGAGGAGGAGGAGGAGAAGGGGAGAAGGGGGAGAGGAGGAGGAGGAGGAGGAGGAGGAGGAGGAGGAGGAGGAGGAGGAAGAGGGGAGAAGGAGAAGAGAGGAGGAGGAGGAGGAGGAGGAGGAGGAGGAGGAGGAAGAGAAGAAGGAGGAGGAGGAGGAGGAGGAGGAGGAGGAGGAGGAGGAGGAGAGGAAAAGGAGGAGGAGGAGAGGAGGAAGAAGCTGCGGCAGAAGCAGGTGTCATAATGAGGATGGAAGAAGGAAGGAGGAGGATTAGGAGGATGAGGAGGAGGAGAAGGAAGAGGAAAAGCAGGAGAGGAGGACGACGAGGAGATGGCGGAGGAGGAAACGGGGGAGGAGATTGAGGAGGGGGACGGAGGAAGAGGAGGGGAGGAAAATGAGGGCCTGATGGAGGAGGCGATGTGGAGGAGGGGGGAAGAGGAGGAGGAGGAGGAGAAGGAGGAGGAGGAAAAGGAGGAAGACGAGGAGGAAGAGGAGGAGGAGGAGGGTTCAACCTCCGCGCTGCCTGCCAACTCTTCCTTCTGGGGGGAAGAAGAAGAGGAAGAAGAAGAAAAATAAAAATGAGAAGAAGTAAAGAAGAAGAAGAAGAAAAAAAAGAATAATAAGAAAAGGAAAAAGAAAAAGACAAGAAGAAATGGCGGGGACGTCTCCCAAAGGGGCGGACCCAATTCTCGAAATCAGCCCCCACACCTCTGCGGGAACGCGTTTTGACCAGGATCTCGACTTGAACCCAGACGTGGCGAGGAAAAGCCCCCACGCGACCCCGAATGGAGCGAGGAACGCCCAAAAACCTGCGTTACGTGAGATCGTCCTTCTCTGCCCTGCCAGGGGGGCGCGGGCCGCGGTCCTCGACGCACGGCGCGGCCTCCTGCGGCTGAGGCCAGCGGGTCGTCGCCGACGCCGCCGCTGCCGCGGCCGTCGGCCGTCGCCGTCGTCTGGGTCGTCGTCGTGGTCGTGGTCGTGGTCGTGGTCGTGACCGTCGTCGCCGTCGACGACAGCGACGCGCAATGGGGAGGAGGAATGGGAGGAGGAATGGGAGGAGGAGGAGGAGGAGGAGGAGGAGGAGGAGGAGGAGGAGGAGGAGCAGGAGCAGACACTTCTGCGCTGGATGGGGGGGGTCAATGCGAGCGCGGGCGGGCCGCCATGAGATCTGGGGAAATACCATGGCCCACGCCATGATCCGGCGTGTGAGTTCCAGAAGTCGAAGCTGAAGTTTTGATTCAGCGTGAGCTTTAGCTCTGCCTGGGGAGGGGGGGGGGGGGGGCTCATTAACTGTAGAATTCAGTGCTCGGCCCCCCCCCCCCCTGCCAGCCCCCCCCCAATTGATTTTGGGCCCTCCCCCGAGTTTTGCTTTGCAAGGGCGAGGGCAGGAGAAGAGAGGGGGGGGCTCTGCAAGGGGGGGGGCTGCAAAGGGGGGGGGGGGGGGGCCCTCTCAGGCGGGAGCGGGAGCTGCAGGGAAAGGCGGGAGTGTCAGCTTTGCAGACGGGCGCTCTGCAAAGGGAGGGGGCGGGACTGGAGAGAGGGGGGGGGGACAGGAGATAGGAGGGGGGGAGTAGAAAATAGGGGGGGAAGAGGGGGGGGGGACAGGAGAGAGGGGGGGAAAACAGGAGAGAAGGGGGGGGCAGGAGAAAGGGGGGGGCGAGAGAGGAGAGAGGGCAGGGACAGGAGAGAGGAGGGGGGGGACGGGATCATCACCATCTCCATCACCATCACCATCACCATCGTCGCATCACCATCATCATCACCATCATCATCATCATCAGCATCATCATCAGCATCATCAGCATCATCATCATCAGCATCATCACCATCATCATCACCACCGCCACCACCACCATCACCACCACCGCCACCACCACCATCATCATCACCACCATCATCATCGGCATCATCATCATCGTCAGCATTATCATCACCATCATCATCTGGAGCGCTCTGGATCGGCAGCACTGGCTGGAAGCCACTACAATATCATGGCCCACGCCATGATATCCCCCCTCCCCTAGTCATCACGCCCCTCTTTGCCGCCCCCGACCGGCGCCCACGCGCGCGGCGCTGGCGGCGGGCCAGGCTCCGCCCACGGCTGAGGCGCCAGCTGGACTCCGGCTTCGGGGGCCCCCGGGGCCCTCTGGGCCTCGTGAGGGGTGCTCCGGAGGCCGCGGGGGGCATCCTTGGAACTCCCGGGGGGCGCCTGGGGCCAGGGGCCGAAGAGAGCAACGCAGGGTCCGAAGCCACCCTCATCCCGAAGGAGGAGGAGGAGCAGGAGGGGGAGGAGGAGGAGGAGGCACGGCACGGCTGTCCTCGGAAGTGGGGCCAATGCCCCCTCAGCCGGGGGGGTGCACAAACTCATGAGCTCGGCAGCCCAGGACGCCCGCTAAGCGGGCTCAACCGACGCCAGGGACCAGAACCCTGACATCAGGAAAAAGACAGATTAGATCGAGGCGACTCGAGCGCATCTCCACATGAACGTCCCTTCCCGCCAGCCTCACCCGCCGCCTCCATGGAGTGGATGACGGGCGCTCCGTACGGCTTCACGAAGCCCGCGGAGCCGTGGACGCCCATCCCGCGGGCGGCGGGAGGGCGGGCGGAGGGGGAGAGAGGAGAAGATGGGAGGGAAAACATCATCCTATCGAAGCTCCTCTAAAACCCGACACGGAAGCGAGAGAAAAGAACAACTCCACCCTCTTAACCGATACGTAAGTACCCACCACCCTCCACCATAGTCTACGACTGCAGCAGAAGCAAAATGGAGTGGGCACGGGACAAGGGGGAGAAAAAACACAGGAAGAGGGTACAAACTCTAGACCACCATACACTCGCAAGCGCAAAGCACACTGCCTGCGACCGAAATCTTCCCAACCCATCATCACCTCTAACCCCCGCCACTAACTTGAGCTGGTAGCAGCACGAAACCACCGATGAAGGTCAGTCTGTATTCTCGTCTTCTCATCAGGTTCGGGAGGGGGACGAAACTCAGGAAAAAAAAACACCAAGAACAAACAACAACGACAACAACAACAACAACAACAACAACAACAACAACAACAACAACAACAACAACAACAACAATTACTAGCACGTGGGGACACACCGTTCTCACCAGTGCCAGGGTTTTCATAGGAGGCGGGCAATACCCCCACTTTGTGGGGGGGCCGGTTCAAGCTCTACCAAATTTCCAAACGACTCTTCGCCACCACCCACACCCAGCTTCCCGCCCTATGACGTTCGGACACTTCACTTCGTGGCATGCGGACGACCGTGGCTACTATTCAGGGCCCCGCGGCCGACGACGACGGCGTGCGCGCGCGAAGAAAAAACGAATGTGTCCCGCATGGTATTATTTGACAGGGATGATGGCCCTGGCAGGTGCGCAACCGTTGTTGCAGAAGTTCGAAAAAGTTGCTCGCAAAAGCCCGTTTGACAGAAATGTTTAAAAAGTGTTGGGTTTCCTACGAATCCGCAAGAGCGCGCGGGATGAGATTTTGACAATTTTTTGTTGAAAAACCATTGGTTTTTTGATGTTTTTATGTTAAAATCGCTACGAAAACTAAGGTTTTGGAAGGATTTCGTCTTGCGCGCGCGAATGTCCACTTTACCTTATTTTTTGCAAGGGATTCTTGAAGTTTGGTTATGTTAGAACAAGAAATGTCCACTTTAGCTTATTTTTTGCAAGGGAAAGCGGGCCGTAACAACACAACCGGATCCGGATCACATCGTTTTACCTGAGACTTCCTCACGAAAATGATGAAAATGAGGCTGCGGCCTAGGCGCGGCGGGGGGGCCGCGCACCAGGGGTCCCAACAATAATTATTCTTTAGAAGTAATAATGTTCAACAACAACAACAACAACAACAACAACAACAACAACAACAACAACAACAACAACAACAACAACAACAACAACAACAACAACAACATCAACAACAACATCAACAACAACAACAACAACAACAACAACAACAACAACAACAACAACAACAACCACAACAGAAAAACAACAAAAAAAACGTTAAGGCACACAGGAATGCGTCTCGCAGCGCGATCCGACTCAGCTTTCTCCCGGCGTCTCTTGAGGGCCGCAGCTCGGTTGGATGCAATGCGCTGGAGAATTTCAGGGGCCAAAGGGGTGGGAGGAGGAAGGGCGGGGACAACAACTTCGGGTGATGGAGCGCAAGCAAGCTCCCTAGAAGCATGAGATTCGTAGGCCGCAACAGAGTGTGAGCCCTCTAGCTCTCCGTGCTCATTAGGAGGGGGGAAGGACGAAGGCTGAAGGAGGCGGGAGATACGGGAAAGAGCAGACGGCTGGGGCGAGCGAGCCTTAGCCGTTGACGATTCGGAGGAGGAGGAGGAGGAGGAGGAGGCGAAGGAGGAGAAGAAGGAGGAGGAAGAGGAAGAGGAGGAGAAGGAGGAGGAGGAGGAGGAGGGAGGTGGAGGAGGAGGAATAGGAGGAGCAGGAGGGGGAGGACGAGGAGGAGGAAGAAGAGGCGGAGGAGGAGGAGGAGGAGGAGGTGGAGGAGGGGGAGGAGGGAGGAGGGAGGAGGAGGGGGCACGAAGACCCCGGGGTCCGAAGCCCCCCGGGTCGGAGCGAGGCAAGGCGGCGGTCGGCCTCCCGGCCGTGGGGCCCGCCGTGGCTCGGCGCACCCGCTGGGCCCCGTCGCGGACCCCTCGAGGAGCCACGAGATCCCGCCCCCCGCCGCGCCCACCGCCCCCCAGCCCCCCAGCCCCCCCCAGCCCAAGGAGGAGGAGGAGGAGGAGGAGTAGGAGGAGGAGGAGAGGGAACGAGGAGGAGGAGGAGGAGGAGGAGGAGGAGGAGGAGGAAACGAGGAGTAGATTTGAGGCAGAGGCCGATCCCCGCGGGGCCAGACCGCAGACCTGGCGCGGCTCTCTTGGCCTGAGCTCGACGGCGAAGCGAGGGGGAAGTAAGAAGCAGAAGGCCTTGTCAGAAGGCGCGAGGCGCGTGCAGGGGGGGAGGCGAGAAGCAGAAGGCCTTGTGAGAAGGAGCAGGGGGGGGGGAGAAGCAGAAGGCCTTGTGGGAAGGCTCGGCGCGCCCTCTGGGCCGTCGCGGACCCCGAGGAGCCACGAGGTGAAGCCTCTGTTGGAAGGCGGCGGGACCTCTCAGGAGCCCTCGCGCCTTCTGAGAGGTGCGCTGTTGTGTCTTCGGGGAAGGCGCTCCAGGAACTTCTCGGGAGGCCGGGGAGGCTTCCGAGCCTTCTGAGAAGGCCCGCCCCTTCTCACTCCCCCCCGGTGATGAAAACAACTGGCCGAACCCAGCTTGCCCGCGACCACGGGCCTCAGCTCGAGAGGAGCATGCCAAAGGACAGCATCGCCTGGAGGATCGCTGAGCCAGGCCCCACACTGTGTTGGGGGGGGCGCCTGGTGTTTTCTGACCCCTGAAGTCGCTCCCCTCTGGTTCGCTGTTATTGTTTCTTGCGAGAGGCTGCGACGACCAAAGGCCTTAAGTTCGACCGACCGACCGACCGACCGACCGACCGACCGACCGACCGACCGACCGACCGACCGAGGAGGAGGAGGAGGAGGAGGAGGAGGAGGAGGAGGAGGAGGAGGAGGAGGAGGAGGGGGGGAGGTAGAGGAGGAGGAGAAGAAGAAGAAGAAGGAGGAGAAGGAGGAGGACGAGGAGGACGAGGACTGTAGTGTATTGCTGATGCCCTTGAGGGTAGGCATAACCCTTTCAGATCGGGTGGGGCACGCAGGCTCTCCCATCCTTGAAAACGGTGCTCGTGAAGGTTGTGACGCCAACCTTTTGGTCCCAGAGCCTGTGCGGGGACCGTTGGAGGCACCGTTAGGTGTGGCGGGGGAGCTTAACGATAGCTCCTGTCTCCGCCATACCATGCCAGTGAGAGGGCGTGAAGCGTGTCACACCGCCTGGCCAGGGGATGGGCTGGCATCCCCCAGAATAGAGTCAAACGCTGATTCCCCAGAATAACGTCAGACGCTGGACTCCCCCAGAATAACGTCTGACGGCTTGCTACCCTGGTGGCGCCATGTGGGCCTGCTCCACGGGAGGAGGGATCGCGATCCTGTCGGTGACCGGGGGGCCCACTCCACAGCAGGGCGGCGATGGGGGACCTGCTATACAGCAGGTCGGGGCGCCACCCTGAGGGGGGGCGGGGGGGATCTGTGCCACCGCGGGTCGGATCGCCATCCTAGGGGGGATACGGCGGCCCGCTCGAAAGTCAGACGGGTCGACCCTCAGGATGAACGGTGCGGTTCCCCCCCAGCAGGAAAACACCTCGAGGTTGGTGGAAATCCCGAGATAGAAACCTCGAAGTGAAGCCCTCGACGGGAATGAGTAGGAAGAGGAGGTGGGAGGGAGGGAGGGACGGGAACGGGGGGGGGGGCGGGGAGGGTGAGAGGGGCACGTGAGAGTGTGCAGGACTACCGGCCTTGCCGCCGGGTGCGTCCTTGAGGCAACTGCCTCGCGACAAGGGCCAGCGTGCAGGGTCTGAGGATGCACGTGGCCCGGTCTGGCCGCCAGGGGGTGGCGGAATATGGAGGGAGGAGAGGGGATGATGGGGACACATATGGGTGTGCAGGACTACCGGCCTTGCCGCCAGTTGCGTCCTCGAGGCAACTGCCTCGCGACAAGGGCCAGCGTGCAGGGTCTGAGGATGCACGTGGCCTGGTCTGGCCGCCAGGAGGGGGGGGCGGAATATGGAGGGAAGAGAGGGGATGAGGGAGACACGTAAAGGTGTGCAGGACTACCGGCCTTGCCGCCGGGTGCGTCGGGCTGGCGGCGCCCGCGGGGATGGCGAAGCGGACGCTGCCCGCCTCCGGAAGGACAAACATCGGCATGCCATGGGAGCAGAAGCTTTCGACGGTTAGCGCGGATCACTTGCGTCGGAGCTGGAAATCTTTTCCCCTGGCGCGCGGAGCGCGCCAGGGGCGGCGCAGGAGTCGCCGCCAGAGGGGCCTCAGTGCCGATCCAAGAAATGCTTTTTCTCGCAGCGCGTCTGTCCATTGCTCCCTGCGGAGCCTCTCAGGCGCCGCCGACAGAAAACAGCTCGCCCAGACGGGAGCGCTGCCTCATGGCACGCTGGCAGGGGGGGGAACTGGCACATAATGCGCCCCATGATGCACTCCGCGAGTGCCGCGAAGGTGTTTCTGGAGGGGGAGGAGGTGGAGGAGGGGGAGGGGGAGGGGGAGGGGGAGGAGGAGGAGGAGGAGGAGGAGGAGGAGGAGGAGGAGGAGGAGGAGGACTGTAGTGTATTGCTGATGCCCTTGAGGGTAGGCATAACCCTTTCAGATCGGGTGGGGCACGCAGGCTCTCCCATCCTTGAAAACGGTGCTCGTGAAGGTTGTGACGCCAACCTTTTGGTCCCAGAGCCTGTGCGGGGACCGTTGGAGGCACCGTTAGGTGTGGCGGGGGAGCTTAACGATAGCTCCTGTCTCCGCCATACCATGCCAGTGAGAGGGCGTGAAGCGTGTCACACCGCCTGGCCAGGGGATGGGCTGGCATCCCCCAGAATAGAGTCAAACGCTGATTCCCCAGAATAACGTCAGACGCTGGACTCCCCCAGAATAACGTCTGACGGCTTGCTACCCTGGTGGCGCCATGTGGGCCTGCTCCACGGGAGAGGGATCGCGATCCTGTCGGTGACCGGGGGGCCCACTCCACAGCAGGGCGGCGATGGGGGACCTGCTATACAGCAGGTCGGGGCGCCACCATGAGGGGGGGCGGGGGGGATCTGTGCCACCGCGGGTCGGATCGCCATCCTAGGGGGGATACGGCGGCCCGCTCGAAAGTCAGACGGGTCGACCCTCAGGATGAACGGTGCGGTTCCCCCCCAGCAGGAAAACACCTCGAGGTTGGTGGAAATCCCGAGATAGAAACCTCGAAGTGAAGCCCTCGACGGGAATGAGTAGGAAGAGGAGGTGGGAGGGAGGGAGGGACGGGAACGGGGGGGGGGCGGGGAGGGTGAGAGGGGCACGTGAGAGTGTGCAGGACTACCGGCCTTGCCGCCGGGTGCGTCCTTGAGGCAACTGCCTCGCGACAAGGGCCAGCGTGCAGGGTCTGAGGATGCACGTGGCCCGGTCTGGCCGCCAGGGGGTGGCGGAATATGGAGGGAGGAGAGGGGATGATGGGGACACATATGGGTGTGCAGGACTACCGGCCTTGCCGCCGGGTGCGTCCTCGAGGCAACTGCCTCGCGACAAGGGCCAGCGTGCAGGGTCTGAGGATGCACGTGGCCTGGTCTGGCCGCCAGGAGGGGGTGGCGGAATATGGAGGGAAGAGAGGGGATGAGGGGGACACGTAAAGGTGTGCAGGACTACCGGCCTTGCCGCCGGGTGCGTCCTTGAGGCAACTGCCTCGCGACAAGGGCCAGCGTGCAAGGTCTGGCCGCCAGGGGGTGGCGGAATATGGAGGGAGGAAAGGGGATGAGGGGGACGCTGCATGGGTGTACAGGACTACCGGCCTTGCCGCCGGGTGCGTCCTTAAGGCAACTGCCTCGCAACAAGGGCCAGCGTGCAGGGTCTGAGGATGCACGTGCCTGGTCTGTATGGAGGGAAGAGGGGGATGAGGGAGACACGTAAAGGTGTGCAGGACTACCGGCCTCGCCGCCGGGTGCGTCCTTGAGGCAACTGCCTCGCAACAAGGGCCAGCGTGCAGGGTCTGAGGAGGCACGTGGCCCAGTCTGGCCGCCATGGGGTGGCGGAGTATGGAGGGAAGAGAGGGGATGAGGGGGACGCGTATGGGTGTGCAGGACTACCGGCCTTGCCGCCGGGTGCGTCCTCGAGGCAACTGCCTCGCGACAAGGGCCAGCGAGCAGGGTCTGAGGATGCACGTGGCCCGGTCTGGCCGCCAAGGGGTGCCGGAATATGGAAGGAAGAGAGTGGATGAGGGGCACACGTAAGGGTGTGCAGGACTACCGGCCTTGCCGCCGGTTGCGTCCTTGAGGCAACTGCCTCGCAACAAGGGCCAGCGTGCAGGGTCTGAGGATGCACGTGGCCCGGTCTGGCCGCCAGGAGGGGGTGGCGGAAAATGAAGGGAGGAGAGGGGATGAGGGGGACGCGCATGGGTGTGCAGGACTACCGGCCTTGCCGCCGGGTGCGTCCTTGAGGCAACTGCCTCGCGACAAGGGCCAGCGTGCAGGGTCTGAGGATGCACGTGGCCTGGTCTGGCCGCCATGGGATGGCGGAGTATGGAGGGAAGAGAGGGGATGAAGGGCACAGGTAAGGGTGTGCAGGACTACCAGCCTTGCCGCCAGCTGCGTCCTTGAGGCAACTGCCTCGCGACAAGGGCCAGCGAAGGCCATGCTTAGACTGTAACTGGTGAAACGTGTTCCCCCAGGGTGACCACCCAGGCGGGGCCTGTGGCTCTCCGACCCGAACCTGCAAGGTGGGCAATAGAAGCACTGCTGGAGGAGGTCCGGTCTGGGTCGACGCATCCTCCTTGTGCTGGGAGGGCACTTGAGCGTGCCTCTTGCCACTGTCGCCCCGCTGTTCACACCCCTGGGGGCTCGGCTGGGGTGCTCGTCGGGCGTGGGGAATCCACGCCCTTAGTGGCGCCCCGTGCGTCCCCAGCCGACTCCCCCAGAGGAGTATAGAACAGCATTGGCACGGGGACGAGGAGGACGAGGAGGAGGAGAAGGAGGAGGAGGAGGAGATCAGAAGGGCGTCAACTACACACTTGCACCCGACCCTGGCCAGGCCCGTCCACTGCCCAGGATCGGCGCATCTTCCCCCATGGCTCGAGACTCCACTGATCCTCGGCCCGGGATGGGCCTGGCCAGGGTGGGGTGCAGGTGCACGGTTCGCGCCATCTGGGAGGAGGAGGAGGAGGAGGAGGAGGAGGAGGAGGAGGAGGAGGAGGAGAAGAAAGAGAATTCCGAACATCGGCAGGTCAGCGGAGAGCTCAGGAGGAGGAGGAGGAGGAGGAGGAGGAGGAGGAGGAGGAGAAGAAAGAGAATTCCGAACATCGGCAGGTCAGCGGAGAGCTCAGGAGGAGGAGGAGGAGGAGGAGGAGGAGGAGGAGGAGGAGGAGGAGGAGGAGGAGGGGGGAGAGGGAGGGGGAGGTCGAGACCTTGGAATGGTTTTGGACGTCTGGGGGACTTTACTGCGCCTCCCGAGGTCTCTGGAGGCCTCGGGGGACCTCCAGGGAACTCCCGGGACCTCCAGACCTCCGTCGACCTCTGGGGACCCAGATCTCCAGGCACGTCGCGAACGGAAGCAAAAAAGAAGGTCTGCTCTGCACGAACGAAAAAAGGTGTCCGTGCCGTGTTGCATCTCCGACGCAGAAGACGCTCCGGGGAGCTCCGGGAAACGTCTCGAACGCAGCCCGAGGCCCCCAGTGCATTGGAAAATCCTATTCAGCGCACGTCTTTGGCCCGCTGGCTCCTGGTCGCCACACACGGGAAGGCACTCGATGGCGCTGGAGCAGCCGGCCTTGTGCGAGTTCAGGGCCTCCTTCGGGGCCACGACGACGACGACAACGACAAGGACGACGACGACGACGATGACGACGACGGCGACGACGACGACAACGGCGACGACGGCGACGGCGACGGCGGCGACGGTGGCGGCGGCGACAAAGACGACAAATGCAGCGGCGGCGGCGACGGCGACAGAAGCAGCGGCGGCGGCGACGATGGGAGCGACTATACGCTGCAGTCGAACACGCGCAACGGAGCACGCTCGTGTCGGTCGTGGCAGGCCGTAGCATCGAACGCCCACGACATCGAGACTACATGTGTCTGAAAATGAACGCAGGGCAGCAGCAGCAGCAGCAAGAGGACGAGCAGCAGCAGCAGCAAACATGGGGAGCAGACCAGGGAACGAAGGGTGGAGGACAAGAGGACGGAGACAAAGGAGACAGGGAGGGAGGGAAGTAGCGGAGGGGGAGGCAAGAGAATTGGATTTGACTCGCAGTTGGGTTCAGAACCGGATTCCCTTTGGTAAAATCTCTTGGGTGGAGCTGCGCCCATGGGGGACGCCCGAATCAAGACCAAATCTGGAGAAAATAACGAGCGCACGGATATGTTTGACTTCACCGATCCGCTGCATGGATGCCCTTGCCGTCCCTCCTCACCCCAACGCCCTTCTCAGCGATCCTGTTGAATCCGAACTCCTGGGAGTGGAGTGGACTTGATGGGGATGTGGTCAACTGATTGATAACGAAGCGTTCCTCGTCCCCGAGCGCCTCGGTAGCATCGGGGTCCCCGTTGCGGAGAGATGGGGGGTGGGAGGGAAGCCCTAGGCAAAGCGAGGGCCAGCGAGCCAGGGAGGCCCCCGAGAGCGAGTCCTGAGTGGCGGGGGGGGCCGCAAAACGACGAGGGAAGCCCTGGGGGGAGTCCAGATGCCACCGCCACTGAACCCCCCTCCTCCTCCTCCTCCTCCTCCTCCTCCTCCTCCTCCTCCTCCTCCTCCTCCTCCTCCTCCTCCTCCTCCTCCACAAGTGCCCACCCGCTGCGCGCCCGCTGCCGTGGAGGGAGGCTGGCCGATTGTCCTGCTCAAGGCATGGGCGCACGCAGGAATCCAGCAGCACTCTCCAAGGGACTCCACCTGGCGACCTTGCGCGGGGGGGCGAAGGGGGGAGAGGCCTTCTGAGAAGCCAGGCGGGCTTCTACCCGCCTGCTTAAAATTATGTCGGACATGCCCGACTCAAGAGTCGGCCTTCTGAGAAACCTGGCGGGCTTCTACCAGCCCGCTTAGAAGGCCACCCCCCATCGCGCCGCCCCCCCGTGCGCGCCGCCAGGCCCAATCCCTTCTCCCACTTCCAGTAGGGGATCGACTGCAGAATTCATTTACCCCAAAATTCGTGTTCTCGTCGAACCTACGGAAAACTACTCCGAATTCTCAAGGTCACGAACATTCTACCCTTCCGCAGAAGATTCGACGGTGAAAACCAGGCTTGGGGCACATCAATTCCGCAGTCGATCCCCTGCTCGACCACCTCTGGGAGCGGGGGCGGCCCGCCCACTGCCCCAGACTCCTGCTGGGTCGTCACCGCCCTCCGCGCCACGTCCTTCAGGTGCATGACCTCCTGCTCGAACGCCCGCTGCAGCTTCTCGAAGGAGAACTTCTTCCGGTGCCTCTCGGAGGGCTCGCCGGCGAGGTGCACGGTCCAGTCCCGGAACAGCTGCTCCGTCTCCTGCGACAGCTCCCGGCTTCGCTCCAGGGCCGTGTCCAGGCTCTCGCTGATCCGCCGCGAGAGGTAGCCCCGCTGTGCGCTGTCGAGCTGGTCGGTGGCTCTGCGGATGTTAGAAAAAGGAAAAGTGGCATGAGCATAAACTGTTGGCGCTCCGCGCGGATTTCTTGGATTCGCGCTGGAACCCCCCTGGCGCGCGGAGCGCGCCAGGGGCGGCGCCAGAGGCGCCGCAGGGAGGGCCCAGAGCGGACCCAAGAGATCCGCGCAGAGTGCCAAAAGTTTATGCTTGTGGCGTTTTTTCTTCTTCGAGATGCACTCCTGCATCTGCTGCACGTTCGCCTTGATGCTCCGCTCGAAGGAGGACTCCTCGTCCCGCCGCTGCTTGGGCTGCAGCTTGGACTGGCCGCCGCTCCTCGCTGACCCGCGGCGCGAGTCGAGTAGGGGATCGACGCAAGAATCGATTTACCCCAAAAATGGTTTCCCCGTCGAATCTGCGAACCGTACCTACGATGCTCCGTATCATGACTGATTAGTCTACGTATTTGCTCATGGGCTCGACGAGACATCAACTTTGGGGTAAACCGATTATGTCGTCGATGCCCTACTCGAACGAGGGAGCAGGAGGCCCCGACGCACGCGGGTCGTGGAGACCCAGAGCTGCCCCCAGGGCTCCAGCTTCCCGTAGACAAACGCGTTCCACTGCTCGCAGAGTAACTACTCGCACATGGCCTGGAGCCGCCATGGGTGATGGTTGTTTGACATTCACGCGTCTGCCCAGGCGTGCGCTCTGGGGGGGCGGCGCCTCCCCCCAGAGGGAGTGGCAGGGCTGGGTGGCGCTCGCGGTTTGTTTCGCCCGCTGCCACTTTCGCCACCAGCCTGCCCCCCCGCTGACATCGCGGCTACTGCGGGGGGACTCACGCCGAGAGGGGGAAAAAAGAAGAGGGCGGAGAGAACGGGAAAAGGGAAGAAGGCAGCCAGTCCCACAGTGCCGCGGAGACAGCGGGAAACGAATCGGGGCGCCAGCCTCAGGGAGCGAGGTCAACCAGAGCTCCCCGAGCTGGCGTCACTTACAAAATCCGCCGACTGACGCAGCCATTCACGATACGCCGGCTGAGCCAAGACACGCAGGGGAAGACCTTCAGACCCTGTGGACGGCAACAGCGGGGGAGAGGCCGAGCGGGAGCAGCAGTGAAACGGACGGCGCGAGGGCCCCTGATCGAGCCCACTGCCCAGCTCGGCGCAACATCTGATCACGCCGCCGACGGGCTGCCCCGCTGAGCAACCGACGCCGCGGGGAAAGAATTACCTTCAGCCCCCCACGGCCGCGCAACAGCGGGGAGAGAACCGAAGCAGGTGCATCAGCGAAAAGGACGGCACGAGGGCCCCAGATCGAACCCACTGCACCAACCACGGCACACACGACAGCCCGCGGCGATGGCGCAAAAAGCGCGCCCAGGAATCAGGCAGCATAAATCAGGCCAAGCAGCACCAGGTGGAGGCCCCCGTCATGTTTTCCCACCCAACCCCCGCGGCCTGACCAAACGGGAGCTCGCGGCACGCGGGATCGGGGGACGCCGTCACGGGAGGGGGCCCCAGCACCTGGGCCGCCGGGCAGAGGACGGACGATCAGTCGGAGTCGTCGGAGAAATCCGAGGCCAAAGTGCATATGTGAAGGCTGGCCGCCCAGACCAAGCCAGGAAGACCCGCTGGCGCCCGGCGGGCGGCCCTCCTCGCACCGAGCTCCTGCCGCACGGCTAGCTGCACCCGACGCAGCACTCGGGGCCTCCGCAGTGGCGTCTTTCAGACGCCGAGCGGTCACGCGTCGTCGGAGCACCCGCGCTCCATCGTCGACGTCGTCGCCGTCGAGGAGGGGGGGCTCGATGGGGGGAGTGGGGAACCACCCCAGCTGGCAACTCGTCGGGCCTGCCGACACCCAGGGGTTTCCTCGGGTGTCCGCCTTGTACTGCTCTGTTGAATTGGGTTAAACCGTGCCCTCGCAACTCCGTTGGGCATACTTTTGAAAGATCCGTTTGCATGGGCGCAGCCTGGTGCATGCGCGCCCCGCACTTGAGGCGGAAACAAAAATCGCCACCATCAGAGCAGGGCAGCACAATCACACTGTGTCCAAGCGAGCCGGCGGTTGGCGACTTCTCCGAGATCGCCCACAGGTGGGATGGCCACAGATGGGGAGCCTAGCCCACATTCGGTGCACCTCCACACTGCACTGCCATCGATGGGCAACCTTAGGCACCGCAGGCTCGGCAGTGGTGCGACAAGGAGAAACCATTGGGCAGTCTGTCAGATTGAGCCTAGGCCACAGCGGGAGCAGCTCATCGGCAAGCCTGCACACAATCTTGCTGATCTTTACACATCTGCTGACGCGCTCAACCTCGTTGGAGGGCTGGGAGGTTTGACCGCGCCCCTCTCTGGGCAGCTTTGTCGGCGTAATCACTGCCGACCCTCAATTGCCTATCCGACTCCGATATACCTAGCTCGTCCAAGTCCCGACCAGCCTTGATTTCGTGAGCGGCCTGAACGTGAGGGGCATTAGTAACAGAAAGGAGCTGCCCCGCATACCTTCTACAATGAGACAGCCTTTCGCCTGGGGGCAGGCGGACATGGTCAACTACCGCAAGGATATTGGGAAACGCTCCAGACTGAGCAACGACGCGCAGAGCAGCCATAGCGAGAGTACATTCTTCACCCGCAGGGGCAGTTTGGCTTATGGGAGCCTGCACAAGCCCATGTAGAGCGCACAGAAGGGAGCCCTGGGGGGAGACCATGGAGACCCCCACCCGGCCCTCGATAGCTCTGAAATGGGATGCCAAAAACAACCCCCGTCAACAAATATGATTCCATGGATGTCCCCCTGGGCCAGCTCCCCCGCGAAGTCCTTTTCCTCAGCTGACGGCAGAACCACTCCACCACCCGAACTAAGAGGGGAAGGCCAGAGCGCTTCGGGATGCTCAAGGATACCCCGATCGAAAAGGAGTTTGTCACCATCAGAGCAAGGGCCTCGAGCTCCCTCTAAGACCTCAGCAGGGATAAGCTCAGCAAGAACCTCCTCGACCGCGCTGCACTCGCATAAACGGTGATGGACGGTATCCCTACAGAGACCACAGAGAGGGCAGAGCAACTGGTCATCGCCGAGCGGGCACCCCGACGCTGGCGGCCCCGTCAGCTGTCCAGGCCCCACCACAGCAGAGGTTCCTAATTGACCCCTTCTCAAGTGCAGAGAACTTACGAGAACGCAAGTGTGTCTTGCAAACATCGAAACATGCTCGCTCCCTTCCCACCTCCAGCCTCCTGCCAAGTCCCACTTCTGACCCCCTGATAATCGCTGTCCTCAGGATGTCTTTCAGGAGAATCGGGCTGCCACGGGCGAGCGAGACCGAGATGCCTTCGCGTGTGCACTGCGCGGCATCATCAGGCATAGACCAGCCAGGGCGCTGCACTGATAAGAATAGAGCAGCGAGACCAGCAACAAAGCGCCACGAAGATGGCTTGAGCTCCCCTTCAAAAACAAAGGCCCAGCACTTTCTAAGCTCCTGATGGGTCATGCCTTCAAGATACTGATGACACTGCGCAGCCCAAACTTCCTTCCCCCACCTTACCATTGGTGTCACCATCCCAAGGTAGGACCATCTTGAGCAGAAGAAAGACTACGGCCCCCGCGAGAAGAAAGGGGGAATTCCCCTGCTCGGAGGCGCATACGACCCATCACGGAGTCGCTTACGCCGTGGATCTCACAGCAGAAATTGACGCCAGCAAGAGCACCACCCGTGAAAATCCTCTGTGCTGAGCGCCCAAGAACTCGCCGCTGCCTGCAAGCCCACCTAACACGCACGTCGAAAGTGTCTCGCCTCAGCTCGGCCTTCTTGCAGCGACCTTTCACGCGCCCAAGCAGCCCAGCGGCGTCGTCGGTCCCCGGGTCGCTCGCCGGGGCGTTTTTTTCCAGGACCCGCCCAGGCGCCGAAGAACTCCTGAAGCTCGATACCCAATCTGTGATGACTGCATAGAAGGCTGGCCATCTCACGGGCAATCTGGCACTTGATGTCGGCTTCCACCGCTGTAAACAAGCCCGCCGCGCCAGACGCGATCGCCTCGAACGCTTTCTGAAACCAGCCCTGAGCAGACAAGCCCAGGTCATCGACGCGTAGGTCAAGGCTGGAACGCGGCTTCAACTGGGCAGAGATGAAAGCTGATATGCAGTACACGCGGACCAAACTGGTGGCCATACTACAACCTGCAATGACACCGTGGATCGCCAGGAAAGGGCCTAGGATGAACCCGCTGACGCCCATGTACCCAGGGGCCCGATAGGCCAAAATGCAGAGCCTACAAACCACCATCGGAAAACCAGGCTCATCACACCTGGCCTCGGAGCCGCCCAGATCCACAGCTTCGTAAAAGTTGTACATATCCCAGAGAAGAAATGCCGAACATAGACCATGCTGGACGGCCGCCTCGCTCGCGGCAGTCTGTCTCCAAACTACGTCGGACGCCGACTTGAAACCGTTAGCCGCGAACATGACATGCTTATTGTTCTCCTCCCACATCAACGCATCCCGCCTCCTACACTGGCCCCACAATCGGCACGACGACGCGAAGCTGCCCATCGGCCTGAGGCCGCCAAGAGGCCCGGGCAGCATGGCAAGCACCACTAACCGAAGCTGCTCTGGAAGGGTCACCATAGCCTCCACAATGGCGAGAAGCAGGGAGACACAACGACCAGAGCCTGATCGCAGAGCAGAGCGCAGTGCCGAAGGTGAAATCCCTCGACTGGAAGCGCTAACCTCCGAGAATACACCCGACCCTTCCCCCTCAAGAATTCAAAGGTCACCAAGAGCAAATGCTCCGCAGGTTGGCGCGGCTTCGGGCCCGAATAATCGAAATGCCCGGTATCTGAAAGCCACAAAGATTGGAGACGCTCACCCTCAGCTCGCAGAAGTGACAGAGGGCCCGACGCAACCTGGCCCGAGGCACTGAGGGTCGAAAAAGAAACCCATGCCTCTACAGGACGCGCCCAGGCGCGGGCGTTCCGCCCACCACCCTGGTAAATGTCATGTAAAAGGCATTCCTTCCACGACCGCTCACATTCTGCTCTCGCCGCCTTATTGGTGGGCGAAAGCAGATCACTGAACTCGATGGCAGCTAAGGCGAGCTCCTCCTGGCAAATGAAAGCGAGCACCCTGGAGCAAGCCTTCTGAAGGGTCTCCGAAGCCGGCTGTTTTTTGGTGAAGGGCGACGGGGGCTCCAAAACCTCCTTGGCATCTTTGATGGGGATACCATCCAGAACAGAGACACTGGGCAGTCCTCCACGACGTCGCCCAATCCAAAAAACTCTGAGACAACCGCACACAAGCATACAGCACAGGGTGTCGAGCAGGCCGTTGGTCACGCCCTAAGACTGGGACCCACCACACCTTGGGAACTTCGCCTCCACATCCTATCCTAGGAAGATTGACCTGAAGGTGACCGCCAAGTTCGGCCTCAGCCAAGTTGGCCAATTCCTTATATAACCGGGTAAGTCACTGGAAGGCCTCGAGAGAACCGCGCCGAACACACCCAAGATCTTCGTTGGCTAAGGCGACCGCTGGCTCCCAAGATTGAGGCGTTGGGCCAGGCCCGACTGGAACTACCACTGGAAGAGGCGGTGGCCTCCTAAACTGCAGTACTCGTAGGTCTGCCAGCGGAGGATGGAACTCAATTCCAGCTGGAGAGCGCGGCGCCGCAGGGGCAAACTTGTCGACCCAAGTGGACTTGCTTCCCTTCGACATACCACTGGAGACCACAAAATAGTAGCTAACTGCACCCCTTCCTGGACTCAGACACGCCGGGGCGCCCGAAGGAACCACTTGCGCCTTGAGCTGCTGAACGAAGGTGCAATCGCTGAGCTGCGGAAGCTCGAGGTTGAAATCGCCTCCGACAACGAAACTCCCAAGGCTGCTGCTCGCAAACGTGCCGATCCTAGACAGGAGGGACAAGTTGCTGTCCGACAAGCCCTCGCAGCAATATAGGCAACAGGAAATGCACATGATGGGTGGCAGATTCCCCACACGAGCATCAGCTGCTACTGCACGATATTCTTCGACAGTGGTGCCCCCGGCAGGCCAACGTAGGCCGAGACCAGACCGAGCGAGCACTGCCACACCTCCAGAAGTACCTGAATCCGAAGTTCCCTTAGCACTCCCGAAGATCGACTTCTAATCGCGGTCAAGTCCCCAGAGCTGCGCGTCGGGGATCTGGTGCGACAAAAGGTGGTGTTCCTGCAAGAGCATTACGTGCGCCGCCGTCTGCAACAACCAATCCTTAGCAGAACTCCTGGCTGCGCAAGTGCAACTCACTATCTTCAAGTCTATGACATCCCCCCAGGGGCCTGGGCAAAGTGAAACACATTAAAAACTTTCATAGCTCTTCTTAGATTCTGAGGCGGCGGAAGCCGACAGGCTTGCAGGCGAAAACGCTAGAGCGGGCCGAACATCAGCAGACTCGCAGCAAACGTTCCCCTGCTGACCAATGGCCCCTGGTCTACTGTCGGTGGAACACAACAATGACTTGATATATAAATCAAGACGACGGCTAGGCCGAGCAAGGCGATCCTCAAGCTCGATTCGATTGGAAAAAGGGAGCACAGAACTCCTGCGCTCAGCCTCAGTAAGGCGTAGTTGCTGCCGTACGTGTAGAAGTTTCCCCGTGCCCTCGCTCACCTCGGAATCAGTGAACAGCGACAAGGGGAGCTGGATGTTGAGGCGGGTCGAGAGCAGCAGCCGCACGCACACGAAAATCGACAGTAGAAGCCTCGGCAGCTCGGCAGCAGGCGGCGGCTCAGCCACCGCGGGCTTGGCCGCCCCATCAGGTACACCTTTGGGGCCCCCTGAAGCTGCAGCTGGTCCTTGTCCGCCGTCTCCGCCAGTGTGAATGGTGCCGTCCGCGCCCCTACGTTTGTTGCCAAGTCGCTGCACGTGCTTCCCTTGCTCGTCGCGGATCGACTGTGCCTTCTCCATCGTTCCTGCAAACACAGTCTTGCACGCCTCGCGGAACTGCTCGTTGAGGGTAGCACGCCTGGCCTCCATCTCGTCGTTGTCGGTAGTCGACACTTCGTACAGCGACTCGTCGCAAGCAAAGATGGAGTCGATCGAGACCATGTCGAACACATTGCTGGAGCCCTGCATGAGCTCCACCACGTCCGCCTTGCCAGGAGGTGGTGCCTTGGTTGGCTGAGGCTCAAACATGTTGCCCGCCAGCTCCTTGACCAACTCTTTGTAGGTGTCGTCGGCCTCCTGCAACGAGGTCCTGGCAGCAGCCGTGGCCGTCTGCTGCACCGCAACCTGCTTCTCCAGCTTGGCGAGCTTGTCGAGTTCGGTGCCCAACTTTCGCTCCCAAAACTACACGTTGCTGTGAGCCTTGGCTGCCCGCTTCTGGACTGGAGCAGGAGTCGAACTGCGCGTGAGCCTCTCCAGAGCTGGCTTGTGCTTGGCCGCCGACTCGGCGTCGCCGCCTTTCTCGCACAGAGCAACCAAGGTGCGCAGTTTGCGAGCAGGCACGTTGCGAGTAGTGGACCGCGCTCGGTGATCCAGTGGGGGTCCCAAAACCGTGTGGCGACACACCCGGCGGTGACCTCGAAGTCCGCACAGACCTCACCGCAGGGTCTGTCACCACACGGTTTGAGGGCCTCGGAGGCCCCAGTCGCCCGAGACATCCTCGGAGAACGACCCAAATCCCAAAACCGTGCGGTGACCCCGAATCCCCACCGACTCGCCACACGGTGTGGTCACCACGCCGCTCGGGGGCCCGCGACCCCGGTCCCGAGCGATCCTCTGGCGGCCGCTGGGCCCAGGAGGAGCCCCGGGGAGCCCGAGGGAGCCGCCAGAGGCCCGAGGGCACCTCTCCCTCCCAAGGGGAGCCCCGCCTCCCCCCCCCCTAGGGGGCCACATGCGAACCCTACCCCCACCTCCCACGATCTCTGAGGGGAGGGTGGGGTTCACTTCGCTCGGGAGCTCCCCAACGAAGTGAACCCCACCCTCCCCCTCCGAAATCGTGGGGGCTAGGGATCGGGTTCGCATGTGGTCCCCTACTGCAGGTCCGTGCCGTGTCGACCCTGGCGTTGGTTCCTAACACCGCGCTGGATCGTTCAACCTTGAACGATCGGCCGTCTCCGCAACGTCCGATCGTTCAACATCGACCGATTCTGGGCCGCCGTCGGCGTTCAACGTTGAACGTCGGCGGCGGGGTCGCCGCCGGTCGACACGACGCGAACCTACCGTAGCCCCCCTCCTCCGGATGCTCCTCGTGCTCTCCAGGTGCTGGAACGACATGGCGCCCGCCCAGCCGGGCGCCCGCGCGCACGCTCGCGCACAGGCGCCCGCGCGCTCGCGGGCCCGCGCTCGCGGGCGCGCGCCCGGGCGCGGGGCGGGCAGGGCCCGCGGGCCCCTCGGGCCTCCGGCCGAGGTGGCGCGGCCTGTGGTCGGCCACGTCGCGCCTCCCTCGCCCCCCCCCCCCCCCCCTCCTTCCCTCCCTCCCTCCCTCCGTCTCGCTCCTCCTCCCTCCCTCTCCCTCCTTCCCTCCCTCTCCTGCCCTCCCTCCCTCCCTTCCCCCTCGCTCCTCCTCCCTCCCTCCTCCTTCCCTCCGGGGGAGGCCAACAGGTACTGATGCCGCTGCTCCCCGGACCTCCCCCGGGGTGCGCTCCGACCGGAGTTTCAAGGCGAATCCAGCGGCGGCGACGAGGGCCTGCAAGGAGGCCCAGAACGACGAGGGCCTCCGAGGAGGCCCAGCGGTAGCGGTATGGAGTACCTTTTCCTCCTCCGACCTCCCTCCCTCCCTACCTGCCCCTTCTCCCCCCTCCCCACCACCCAACGGTCGCGGTCGCCACTGCACTCTGGGTCGGGAGGCTCCCTCCCGCGCCTGGATGAAGACTGTCTCGCTCCGGACGAGCCAGAATTCGCCTAGGCAGGGGGGCAGGGGGGGGGCGACGAGGGCAAGGCGGGGTGAGAAGGACGGAGGGGGCGGAGGAGGAGGAGGAGGAGGAGGAGGAGGAGGAGGAGGGGGAGGAGGAGGAGGAGGAGGAGGAGGAGGAGGAGAGGGGGGGAGGGAGGAGGAGAAGGGGTGGAGAAGAGGAGATGAGGAGGCAAAGGGTCACAGGTAGAAGGCAGGGGCGCACAAGAGGCGACCCGATCCGACTGGCAAGCCGCCACACTCTAGAACATCTCTGCGTGGGGGCGATGGAAGCAGGTCCCTGGCTGATGCCAGCAGCCCGCGGGCTTCAATGGGTGCGTTGGTGCCTCGTCAGAAGACCCGCTTGCAAAATGAAGGGACCCATGGCAGGCCGATCGGTGAGCCAAGCTCCGCGAAGGAGGCAGGAGAAGCTCGACGACGACTCAAACAACAGAGACGAAGATATGAGGCATCAGAGGCCTCCAGGCAACTGCCTGATGCACCTCCTGTGTAACATTTGCACGCAGAAGGTTTACGATAGTCATGTGACGGAAAAGCTGCAGCTGAGAAGATATAGCCCGGTGGGGAAACATGTGATCGAGTGCGTCGGAACACACTGTTGCGACATTCAACTCAACCTACACATTGTGAAAGGATCTGGCTAATCAGAACATGCGGAGCTAGTAATCCGCCACCGTGCCTCGAGGCACGAAGTGGAGTTACCTCCAGCCTCTCGTGTGTCCACTGTTCTCTGTACTCAGGACCGGGGGATTATGGTATTCTAAGGGCTGGGGCCCAAAAATCTCAAATTTCCTGGGCGCTCCCGCGCGTTCCTGGGCTGCCTCGCGTGACTTTTCCAGAAGCCAGAGGACCCCAAGACGGGCCAAGAGGGCCTCAGAAAGCGCCCAAGAGGGTCCACGAGGCCTCCAAGACAGCCCGAGAGCGCTCCAAGACGCCCAAGATGGCCTCAAGACGACCCAAGAAGCCCCAAAGAAGCCCCAAGAGCGCTCCAAAAGGACCCCTAAGAGGGCACAAAGAAGCAAAAAAGCATTGATTATCCGTGTGTTGTTCTATGTGTTTCACTTTCTCGCGTTTTCGAGCTTCCGATGCTCCAAGATGACCCTGGAGGCCCCTAAGACCGCCCCAAGACGGCCCAAGAGGACCTCAAGACGGTCCAAGAGCGCACCAAAACGGCCCAAGAGGCGCCCTAGATCGCTCAAGAGAGACCCAAGACAGCCCCAAAAGGGCCCCAAAGGGGGAACACGAACCGACAATTCGAGGCTTCCGCCCCAAGAGGTCCCCAGGAGGCCCCAAGGCCACCACGAAAGCCCAAGAGCCCCCCTAGAGGCCCCACGAGGCCCCCAAGAGGCCCAAAACGAGGCCCCAAGATGCCCCCAAACGGCCCCCAAGAGGCCTCAAAACTGCCTCCACCCCCGAGAGGCCTCCCACGATATCCAAACGAACATTCAAGAAGCCTCTACCCCACAGCCCAGGCACGGCGGCGGGATGGGCCGAAGGCCACTAGATCCGCCGCCCCCTGCTTGCAGGGGTGCACGGCGTGCTGGATGATTCAGGTTTTGGTTTTGGTTCTTTTTCTAAAAGAACTCCCCAGTGGGCTTCGGCCCGTCCCGCCGGCCACCTGTAAATTTCCCAAAATGCGTCTGTCAATGCCCAAAAACGGCCGTTTCGCTCGGGACATCCTCAAAAAATCGCGAAGATGGCCCAAGATGGCCTCCAAGTCCGCCCGAGATGGTCCAAGACGGCCTCCAAAACGGCCCAAGAGAGTCCAAGACGGCCCAAGACGGCCCAAGAGGCCCCCCAGAGGCCTCCCAGACGGCCCAAGAGGCCTCCAAGAGGTCCTCCAGGAGAGTCCGAAGAGGCCAAAATCATTGATTTTCCATTGGTTTTTGAAGGATTTTGGCATTTGCGCCTTTTCGGCTCTCCGACGGCTCAAGACGGCCCAAGAAGCCCCCAAGATCGCCCAAGAGGCCCCCAAGAGAGCCCCATGATGGCCCAAGTGGCCTCCAAGATGGCCCCTAGAGGGCCCCAAGAGGGCCCAAGAGGCCTCCAACACGCCCAAGATGGCCTCCCAGACGCCCAAGATGGCCTCCAAGACGGCCCTGGAGCATTCCAAGCGGGCCCCAAGTCGGCCCATAGAGGCCCCCCAAACGGCTTCCGACGGCTTCAGACGTGCCAGGAACCCACCAAGATGGCCGAAGTTGGCTCGAAGCTGGCCCGAGACGGCCCAAAAAGCCCCAAAGATCGCCCAAAGCTTGCCCAAGAGGCCTCCAAGACGGCCAAGATGACCTTCAAGATGCCCACGTGTTCCCCGAAGGCTTTCCAAACCGATTCGGGGAACACGTGGTCCGATAGCTTGGCAGGTCTGGCCTCAACGTTCGGCCACATAGGCGCTTCCAAAAAGGCAGGGGGCGGCGGTGATTCGCCGTAGGCGTCTTCGATACTGTCAGCACCAAGCTGCATAGCTCACACCCGATGCCTCAAGAGCACTACGCATTCACTTACATTGCCTAGCCAGCGAGCGGCCCGATGCCCAAGCCCACCTCGCCATGTCGGCAACTCACTTGCTGCTTCTGCGGAGTTTCAATATGTTGTGCCTACTTCGCACCATAAACCAAGGCGGCTAATCGATGAAGCGGGGGCCAGCCCCTTACCGAACCATGTGACTTCATTCGCGTCTGTCTTGCTCGCCATCTCCGAGCGCAAGTACCAGGATGCGAAATGTAATGTGCCATCGGCACCGCGCAGGGCCATGGACATGTCTCAGCTTCGCGGAGCGCTGCTGTCGAAGAGAGTCGTAGCTGGTCACGCATGCTGAGCATGAGGAGGGGCATCCTGGCGCGTTGGGACGCTGCGCCTGCTCTGGTTAGACTCCATTCGCTTGCGGGAGCGAAAACGACCGTGCGGCTGGGCCACGGCCCCGCTTGCTCGGCCAAATGTTCCTAGGACAAGCTCTGCGCCGCCGGCAGTCCCGACGACGCCGCGTTGATCACTCCCTGCGGGCGCCTCAGCATCCGAAGGTCCAAGCCGCGCGCCCGTGGCTGGCGACACGGGGGCATATCGAGGATGGCGGTGCTCACCGCGATCGTACGTTTGTGGCACGGTAAGGCTACAGCTGAGCTCAAGACAGATTGTCAACCCGCGCGTCGAATAATCCACAGATGCTCCATGTAGCGTATAGCGCTCCATCCGGAAGTGATGCGTGCTGCCTGCTCCCCGATCGGGGAATGTCACCTCCACCGCCTCACACAGCGGTCGACATCGCACACTGCAGAACAAAACTGCCGCTTAGGCCAAAAGCAATGGAAGCCACGGGATGCCTTTGTATATACATATATATCTATAGATGTATAAAGATACGTGTGTATATGAATTCGGGACAGTGCCTGCATTTAGGGGTTCTCACTCCTCATTCTCATGAATTGGGCGGGTCCAGCGGGGACTTTCACCGTGGCCAGTCCGTGGCCGCCTCGTGGCCGCCTCGTGCGCAGGGTGGGTCCGCCGGGTGTTCGCCACGTGGCGCGCCCGTGCCTGCCTCGTGGCCGTCTCGTGCGCACACTGCGCGTGCACGACACGGCTCGCAACACCTAGATTGCACCAAGCAGCCCACACCTCGCAGCTCATGCCGAACAGTGCACCACACAGCTTACACCGCAGAGCCCACAGAGCACAGCTCGCGCTGCATGGCACGGGCAAGACCGCACCGAGCAGGCTGCACCACACAGCGTACAGAACATAGCTCACACCACCCAGATTGCAACACATAGTTTGCACCACGTAGCTCACACCACATAGACTGCACTGTATACACTGCACCACTGAGACTGCACCGCATGGTTTACTCCTCATAGCTCACACCAGACATATTGCAGCAAATGTGATGGATTACGTAACTAATGTACACCACATCGCCCGTACCGCATAGATTGCAACGCCACACCGCACAGATCACACTACATAGCTTACACGTCCACCGTGCAACATCTCACTGTTTGGGGTCCACGCTGGCAAACATACATATAAAAACAACAAGCATTAAGGCCTCTGAGAAGGCAGCCAGGCTTGAACTCAAGTTCTCGAGTGGGAGGGGCCCAATGGGCAGTCGGAGCTGAAGCGACAACCCTAAAATGTGTTCGCGAACATTGAGCTCATCAGCAGCAATCGAGAAGCCCCAACAACAAGCCGCGGGAATGGAAAACCCCTCAAGGTTGTTCAACGGGCAGCAACCCTCTCGAAAGGCCCAAAACCACAATGGTACCTCTCCGACCCTCGAAGCCCAGCTGGATCCAAAAATGATGGAGCGACGCACGCAATGTCAAATGGTTTTGCCCTGGGCAGGGTACAGTGGGAGCCGAAACTTTCAGCC